ATTTTTCTCATGGCAGCATTCTCAACATTGTTTTTATGAATATCATTTGCATCATATATCTGTTGATTATAAGTAGCCCAAATCTCTCTGTGCAAATAGTAGAAAAAAAACCAAAGCAAAACAGAGGAAACAGAAATCAAGACAAAAGGAAAACAAATCAATATGGAGAAAAAGAATAATCCTATTGGATAGAGCTATTTGTTATAATCCTTGTAAGCCTTACTGACTGCTGAAAGCTATTCTGCTTGTTGTCAGAGAAGAGATGGATGGACAGAAATGTTCAGTGTGTATTATTTGTTTGATCTTTTCTGTTTATTTTGCATCTTTGGTCTCTGAATACCATGCCTGTGTTTTCCCTGCAAGTTTGCAGATGAGGTGGAAGGAGATAGGAGTCTATTCTATGTGTTTTAATCTGGATTTTCACTCCACTATAAAGTCTGTGCAAGTTACCCATAGCAGGCCATGTTTAAGGTCCTTTAAAAGAAAAAAATAGTAATTGTGTCTTTTTGTCCTTAAAGCAGTTGTGAACAGATCAGTTCCAGATGTCTGTGCAACTTGCCACATTCATGCTACGTGTCATCAAATTGAAGGAAAAAGTGTTTGCATCTGTAACTATGGATTTGTAGGCAATGGAAGAACCCATTGTCAAGGTAGGCTGCCTGTGTGTAAAGTGGCAAGAAACTCTGTACAATCCTAAAATACTCTTTCTTTACTAATATTAATGAATTCTTCAAAACATACTAAGTCATGTTTTGTCATTTCCTGGCAGAATTTCCCAAACATAGGGTATGTGTGGATTGTTTTTCCTTTCCAAAAGATTCCTACATGAGAAGTGTTGTTCAGCATTGTTTTATTATTGTGGCTGATAGTATCCTTCTAAGAGTCTCTCATACATGGCAAATCAACATGTGAATTAAAGAGCAATGCCAAATGCTGTGTCTTGAGTGTATGTAATAGCTTACCACTGCTTAAAGGGGATGGTCCTCTACCACTGATCTCTTTCACTCCATCTCTTCTCCATCCTTCACAAAACCCTGGCAGCTGCTGGACCCTGCACAGAGTTCAGTTTTCTCATTATTGTGGGAGAAACATAGAATGGTTTGAGTTGAAAGGGACCTTAAAGATCACCCAGTTCCAATCCCCTAGCCTGGCCTTGAACATTTCCGTGGGTGGGGCATCCGCAGCTTCTCTGGACACCCCGTTCCAGCACCTCACCACCCTCACAGTAAATTGTTTCTGAATATCCAGTCTAAACCTACCCCTTCCAGTTTAAAGCTATTGCTCCTTTGTCCTTGCCAAAAGTTCCTCTTCAGCTTTCCTGCAGTTACCTTTAGGTACTGGAGGGCTACAGTAAGGTCTCCTCAGAGCATTCTCTTCTCCAGACTGAACAACCCTAACCTTTTCAGCCTTTCCTCATAGGAGAGGTGGTCCAGCCCTCTCTGTCTTCATGGACTCCTCTCGACTCACTCCAACATGTCCATGTCCTTCTTGTGTTGGGAACCCCAGAGCTGGATGCAGTACTCCAGATGAGGTCTCAGAGGAGCAGAATAGACAGGCGGAATCACCTCCCTCGACCTTCTGGCCACACTGCCTTTCATGCAGCCCAGGATACGGTTGACGTTTTGGGCTGTGAGTGCACATTGATGGTGCATGTCCAGCCCCTCATCCATCAACATCCCTAAGTCATTCTCAGGAGGGCTGTTCTCAGTCCATTCTCTGCCCAGTCTGTGTTCCTGCTTGGGTTTGCCCCCACAGAGGTGTTCCATTAAGTGCTGCAGTCAGTGCATGCCGTAGGGAAGAGCAGAAGTGGAGAGCAGGGCGCTGTGGTTTCAGCAGCATTTAGAGCAAATGAAGCTGTATCATGAAACTGTATTCACAGTTTCATACGGGAATGACAACCTCTGTTGGTCTGAATACTCCGGCTTACTAGCAGTGTCCCAAAATACTTACAAAGAAAAACAGTGAAGAGAAGTCTGGTTACACAAGAATGAATGAGGGGGGGAGGGTACTCCACTTTTCTTAATCTCTCTCTGATGTGTTTTACTGGCAGATAAAGATGAATGCCAGATTGGAGCCACCAAGATTTGTGGAAATCATACACTCTGTCATAATACACATGGAAGTTTTTACTGTGTTTGCCTTGATGGATACCAAGCCTCCAACAACAACAAGACATTTATTCCCAATGATGGCACGAACTGTACAGGTAAGATAGCACAAAGAATCCTGAGCATAATGAATCCAGAACTTGCTTTTCCACTGCACAAATCTTTTTTTCCCATCACTGTGGAACTGACTTTGTAAAACTGTATCAGAGCACTTTCTGCTGCGAATGCAAAGTTTTACTTGACATCCAGGTTTCTAACAGCTATGAATTAGTTCCACTTCGCATTCTTTGCTGTGTTACAGATCATTGCTTCACAGTCACATTCAAACAAGAATCTTTTCAGAAGAAGAAGCTAGATTAAAGGAAATAAGATATTTATAGTTCCCTCAGAGTGTCATATTTGTGTTTAGTGTAGAATATTAGCCAGTTCCTTGTTGAAGTAATGAACTGTTGTAACTGATCAAGGTATGTGTGGATACGGAATTTTTCTGGGATTGTTGCAACAGGGGATAACATTGGAAACTATTTGTCAAGTAAACCAGAAATAATTCAAAAGATAGCTAACTACAAAATTGCGAGAATGCTTTTTCCAGATGCTTGAAGATCAAACAATAATAAACTCATTTGTTCCCAGAAAAGCCATCAGAAGCTGCACAGAATTCTTCATGGAAGAGTTAGGTTTGGGCCCTATATCAATTAATTTTAAAAAACCCTGTTATGAAGTTCATCGATTTTTCTCTGAATTTTTAGATGTAGATGAATGTGAGGAGTCTGGGCTGTGTGGTCACAATGCAAGATGTGTGAACACTGAAGGAAGCTACAAGTGTTACTGCAATGATGGTTATAAATTAGAAAATGGAAAGCTTTCTTTTCATCCAGATGGAAATGCAGTTTTGTGCAAAGGTGAGAGTCTTTGGATGCTGTTTTTGCTAGCAGATAAAATCATATGTTACATGATACAGTGGTAGCTGCTCTGGCCTGTGCTTTCAAGTCTGCAGGGCAGAAGACCTCTTTGGATTTTGCTGTATGATTTTTATTTTTCTTCTTGGGTTCAGTTTGTTCCAGTGATGACTGGATTGTAGAGTCAACACCAGGTATGATTCCTACAGGTTCCTAGCAGTGCTTTGGTGGGTGGGGTCAGCAAAGCTTAATAATGACATGAGGGTAGTGCAGTTGGTTAATGAATAGAAAGGAAGCGTGGTGTAAACCACTTGCTTATATAATCACACTGCATGAAGGGGAAGAGAGAATAAAGAGGTGGTAAGAGAGGTCAAGCCTAGGAGAGAGGAATTGTGAAGTAACAGTTTAGCTATTTGCTACATATTATGCCTCCTGCATTAATAAACTGTTCTGTTTATAATGCCTTAACAAAAAAACCCACCAGTAAAACCAAGTTTCCAATTTGAAACTGTTTCTTCTTTCCTCTTTAGTGTAGGTTTCCACAGATACAAACAATTAGCAGCATAAGCTATAGCTGTCAGTGTAGGTAATGAACCCAGGCATCCAGGTAGGAGCTAGATTATATCTGGATTATATCCAGCTTTTATTTCCAGATTATTGCCTGCACTGTCAGTAAAGCTCACTGCATGTTGCTTTCCAGTTTTTCTGGTTGGAGTGCTCTGCTTCATTTGCCAGAATTGCTGATAATCCTGCTTTTCTCGCTGACTTCCCCCTCCATATTCTTGGGTAGTGTGTCTGTACTGTGTTTCTTATGATGTAAGAGGAGGGAACCCTGTCAAGGCGGTGTGCTGAAGGAGTGTGGCTTTTGTATGCAGGCTGGTTCAATGAGATATGGGACTGAAGGGCAGACAATTTCATTTCAGCGTATCTGCAGTGCTTCACTCTTCCCATGCACAGGGAAATAAAGCTGTGCACTGGGACCTGTATCATTTGGCCATTGCTGTAACGAGACTGGCGCATGCAAAGCACCATCATATTGCAGTGTTTCCTCCCTGGTGTTATGAATAGCTCCACCTGCATGTTAGTAGAGGTGTAGCTCAGTAAGTGGATCCCTGTGTTCCTCCAGCTGTGGCCAGGGCAACTCTTCAACTCTGATCTTCTATCCCTTTGGCAACCCCTCAGAGTCATCAAATTGGGTGTATTTTGTGATGTGACTATGTAGTTCAGCTCATTTTAAAGTGGTTGTGTGTTGTGGGTTTTGTACTGTGAGATCTTTTAACCCAGTCTCTTTGCAGAAATTGGATGTGGTTCCCCTCCTGAAATGAAGCATGGCTACATCGTGGGGAACTACAGCTTGCTGCCAGGAAGTGTGGTTCATTATGAGTGTCAAGAAGGGTTTTACAGCAATGATGGAAAGGTTGCATACTGCACTGCAAATGAAACTTGGGAACCTGCTACTTTAAGCTGTAAAGGTGAAAAGAGTCTTAAATCTTTCTTAAATTCTTCATGAATGGGGTTTATGCACAGGAAGTATGTTTATGAAAGACAGTAGACTGTTTCCTCAATCTGAAGGCTAATTTTTTCAAGACCTGGCTGTTTGCAATAAAAGAAGAAAAGAAGAGGTTTTTGTCCACCTCTTGTCTTTAGTGTAGTGACATTTTCAGTGCTGATCCTTGCATTTTTACAGGTACTGCAATGTGTCCTTCTGCCTGTGAACTGGAGCCTAGAAAACAACTAATTTCTGTAGCATTTTATGGCACAGTCCACTGAGTTGGAAGGCATCAGTGACCTCTCATGACCTCTCATGAAAAGGCCAGTTTTTCTGGCACCTCATGAAGTTTATTCTGAAGCTTGACTGTATGTACCTGCTAAAGGGAAGCATACCACTCCTCATCTCTTGTTAGCCTTAATGATTTTAAGGACATTTATGCATGAGCAAATGTTTTCATATCTCTAAGGCATGAAGTGTCCTGTGACCATCTTTAAAACTTCCACTTGCTTTATTGTAGAACAATAAATTGCCCATTCGGTTGAAATATTACTGCTTACAAGTGCAGGATAGATTTCATGTTCCTGTGACTAGCTAGAAAGTCTGTTCATTGGTTAAATGACATATGAAGTCCTAGCCAGCAGAAGCTACACTGTGTATAACAATTCTATCATCCCGAAGATTGTCACTTAGCAAAGAGAGTTCTTTTTCTGAAACTACAAAAGCCCTTTTGGTTCCTAAATTTTCCCTTTTTTTTTCTTTGAGAGTGGATAGGAATATAGTGTTACTGTGTGTGTCTATGGGAAGTGAATAAAATAAGGATGCTGAATCAATGTGGCTGTGAAAAAATATTAAATACATTAAATTACATTCATAAGAATGGGAATATAAAACAATTTAATACTACATTACTGTCATCAGAAAGAAAACAATTTAAATAACATTTTTTTCCCAAAAAATAGAGGACAATGAATTTGAAAACAAAGTGGGGAGTGCCCAAAATCTTAAGAGGTCTGTAAAGAAAGCTTATGGAATGCAATCCTTGTGAGTTGTTGGTACACTTCTATTTGTTAATTTTTTTCAGAAATTGCTTTTTCATGTAATTTTTTTTAATTCCTACAGTCAAAGAATAGGTCAGGTCAGAGTTTCTGAGCACGTCTTAGGGTTAATTGAAATAAAATACATGATACACCAAGAAACAACCCATAAGTGAAAGGATAAACCTATTTCCCCTTTGTATTGCAAACTCTTTTCCGGGATTTCAATTAGGACTTCTCTTTTTGTACATCCAGCAAGTCTGAGGGTTTTTTTTTCTTCTAATGCTAGTAAAGGTACCTTTAAATAATTCTTCAGACGATTTTTGTGCTACTCACCTTCTTTGTGTCATGCATTTGTCAATGACAACTCAGCATGTTTGTGAATAGAGCAACTATTACAATGCATTTTCAATATGTAGATTCTTGCCTAAAACAGGAAGCTTTTGTATGTTGTAACCTTTTCTATGGTTTTGCACTTCTGTGGTCTTTATGGACTTTAAAATTCTGCTTTCTAAAAGCAGATTTCTGCTCATCTGCCTCCCGCTGTGTGTTGCTCACTGCAAATGGTATAGAACTAGCTTACCACGTGTAATCAGGTTTGTAAAAGCAGTGGAATCATTGAAGGTTTAAAAGAAAACTTGGGCATTTTCTCTATACTAGCAGCTAGCCTGATGAGGGTGCACAGATTTAGCCTGCCATTCTCAGAGAAAGGCAGAAAGATGTCTTTTCATCTGGCAGCAGATCTGGAGTAGCTGCAGCACTGTCACTCATAGTGGGACTGTTGCAGAAGACATGAGGAAGTGTTGGATTACTGCAGGAGAAGAGAGTTAGCTGGTAAAGATGAACTAAATACTTATGGGAGTGCCACTGACATTACTTCTGCTGGTTGACTAACAAGTTTATCTTCCTCTTCCTTTGTCTCCCCAGGTGTGGATTGTGGTGTTCCACCTCCTGTTTTGAATGCACGTCCAGCATCTGTAAGTGGGACCACATACAGAAGTGAAGTTACTTACAATTGTGTTCATGGTTACCTGATCGCAAGCGGCAATCGGACTGCAGTCTGCAATGCCAGAGGACAGTGGGATGGTCCTGATTTGGTATGCAAAGGTAAATTAAATCTGCCTTCAGTCTTGTTTAGCATAGATGCTATTTCAGCCACTGTAATAATTAGCAGTAATCCTCTTTGGGCATTCAGTTTGTACAGTCTTCCAGCCTAGAAGGTTCAGTCACAAAGCAAAAGCCATATATTGAACAGGTTTATTTTGCTAATATAGTTGCAGTAAATTGTTAAAACTTAACATTCCAAGAGCATCATTCCAGTGCATGCCAGACATTGGGATTACCATGAGATGAAAATTCAGCCTAAATTGCTGCCTGTTTTCTGGTACAATACCTGCTCTGTGGTTGAAGCCACAACTCAGAAATTGAACTGCTGTTAATCATTAGCATCCCCTCAAAATCCCCATATTCCGACAGTTTCCAGTTGCAAACTATGATTGTTCAAGCATGCTGTTGTTATTTGAGATGAGTCGAGTCCCTTATTTTACTATGATTTGGAAGAATGTAGCCTGAAGAGTTTCTTGAGAAGATGAAGCATAGAGGTACATTTATTTTAAAAGTGTTTTGGCCACAAAAATTTCTTTTTTTCCTCTGAGCTCATATTATTAATGAAGTGATGTCAGGATTATTACATTCTTTAGTCAGTTTTCACACTGGCACACCTTCACTTTTCTGTTTGTTGCATGATTAATTTCAGTTTATCCAGCAGGTTGAAATTAACTGTTTATTGCAATAAAATGCTTTTTTTCAATGCACAATGTGTATTACAACCATTCTAGTTTTAGAATCTTCTTTAATCTTCTTATTCTGGGTCACAAGTCTAAACTGAAGCTTTGCTGTGTTACACAGAAATGTGCTTCTGCATTTTCATCTGGTTACAGGATGGCTGTGGGCAGATAGGTGGAGCTAAG